GAAATATTGTCCCTGTCCAGCAGCATCAGCATCGTGTGGAGGTACGTTAGAAACACAAATCCTTGGTCCTCATCCCAGACCCAGTGAATCAGAAACTCTGGGAGGTGACCCAGCAATTTGTGTTTTAACAGGCCAACCTTTCAGCTGATTCTGCTGCACTTAACGTTTGAGAACTCTTGCCTTAGTTCCATCCACCTAGATAGCTCACCTCTTTTCTTGCTTGTAAATTCCTAGTTTTCTTACAAGACTGTGCCTTCCTGACAGAGTTGCCCTCTCTTCTGTGTCCTATAGTACTTTTTCAAATCTCTTCTATAGCATTTATATTGCTTGCATCTGTCTACCTTGGAAGGTAGAGTCCACAGCATAAATTACTTTTGCATCTGCATGCAACACCTACCTTGGTGATAAGTGCTGCTGAATAAATGAATGTATGCATGAATGAAGAAGAGCATTTAAGAGGAGTGATGATCAATAAGGTCAGTTGCTATGGAGAGATCATGGAAAATAATGAAGGGAAAAAGCTATTGGATTTCATAGTAAAGCAGGTGTTGGTGACCTTTGAAATGCTTGCTTCAGCAGGGTGATGGGCAAGAAGCCCAGATTGCTGAGAGTTGGGGCCTTTCAACATGATAAAGACTTGCAAGTTCCCAGAGTTTCTTATTGACTGTTTATCTGAATATGTGGTGGAAACAGTTTTGGGGGGAGAAATAACCAAGTGACCTTAGGCCAGTGACTTAACATTCAGTCTGTGCTCTCCGAATAGGCAATAATAGTAATAATGTATGTTTTTATTTTTTTAAAGGATAATACAAGATCGTTGTAAACCCCTAGAATGATGCCTAGCATTTAGTTAGTACTTAAGGGGTCATTTCATTTACTCTCTCCTACCCTATACACAATTATTTTTATTTATTAATGTCATTAGTAGCATCTATCACCCTTTGTAAATTTGTATAAGATGTGAAATTGATAAAGATCAATCCTTATTCCAGTCATTGGAGAAATTACATTTAGCTGGACCTGACATACCTTTCATTGAAACCAGTGACAGCTATTTTGAAATTACATGATCTCCAGCTAGAAAAGTACCCCAGAAGTACCCCTTGTCTTAGTCAAGACTCTTTAAATACAAGTTATGGAATCCCACTTTAAATAGACTAAAAAAGAGAGAGAGAGAGTTTTTTGGCTTGTGTAACTGAAAATTCCAGGGATGGTGCCAGCCTCAAGAACAGCTATGTTCGTATCTTCTGGACCAAACAATATTGTCAGTATCTGGTCTTTCTCAGACCATCTTGTAGTCCAGCTGTCTTTCATGTGATTTTTGTCCTCAAGCATATTTACCAGCTACAAATGTCAAGGAAAGAAAATTTCCCAGTAGTTCTAACTAAAGTCCTGGATTCGATCTTACTATTCGGACTTAGATCTCTTGGCCATTCTTGAATGAGTTCCTGTGGCCAAGAGACTGGTATATACTTAAGGAATATTCCTTAGGCCAGATTTCCCAGGCCTGGTTTAAGGAATATTCTATTCTATAAAATAACTGGTACTGAGTATAGGGAGAAGTGTAGTTCCCCAAAGGGAAATCCAGTTTCTGTTACCAGAATGAAGGGGAGCAGATGCAAAGCAGGCAAAACAATTGATTCCATCTTACTGTATAGAAAAGTACATTTTCAAACTGTGCTGCTGGGAACTCTAGGGGTCCAACTGAGATGCTTAACTGAGCTGAACATGCTAGCCTCACCAAGAGTAGCTTCACTTTTACATGTTTTTATACCCAATTTCTGGTTAAGATTTCATTTTAAAATAGAGTTTTGGCAATACCATTGGTCCAGGACAATTTAGTAGGTGGTTAGGCCCAAATAGAATATAAAAGTAGGTAACTGTCTTTTCCCACTCCATGCCACTGAACAAACTCTTGCCTTAACTTTCCTTTATCCCATTGACTCAACTCATATTCCTAACTCTACTGAGATTCAGACTCGAATTCTCCACATTCAGACGTGGGGAGATCATCACATTAGGAGAAGTCCAGTTCTCTGTTTACTGATATTGTGACACTTAAAAAAAATCACCACTGGCCATTTTCCATCACGGAGACATCCCCAGAAGTTGTTAACAGCTTGGTGACTCAGTGTAATCCAACAATTATAAAATAGAAAAATTTTGTTGCATTCAGGATATTTGACAGCTCATAATATTTGATGATATGTTTATGCTAAAATTTACAGTTGACATCTACAAGCTGATAGTTTAATATTTTTCAAGCATTCATCTATGGCTCATCTCCTAGGTAATTGCTCCTTAAATCATACTCTTAGGGCTTTTTTCTTATCTACTATTGAATTTTAAAAAATATCTGGTCCATGTTTTCATCTTCCATATCACAGCCCAAATGTGGCAAGGTGCCTGTATTTGTAAATAAAGGTTTTTTGTACACGGACACACCCAGTAGTGTAAGGCTCACCTGCTTTCATTACAGCAGAAATGTGTAATTGTGAAAGAGAACATATGGCCCACAAGAAGTAAAAATATTTACTATCTGGTTCTTTACAGAAAAAAAATGGTTGACCTCTGCTTTATATTTCTGTGGCTTATAACAGTATTCCTAGTTCTTGACATATGGCATACTTACAAAGAAGAATCAGGTAAGGTCCTTACAATACTCTCATTCTCTGATGATCTCAAAAGTGTATCTAGGGCCATATTTTTGCCATAGCTGTTTCCCCTGTGCTCTTTTAGTTCTCTGAACAATTTCTCTTTGTTTCTATACCCTCGACAATTCAGTCCTCTTCATCCTCTAAAACTGCCTGCCCTTTTTAAAGAGAGGGAGGAAGAGGAATGACATGACAGCTTTTCACTGAGCCCTTGAACACATTGGTATACACACCTGCACAGGGACAAGGTCCAAACACATGGACAAAAATCAGGATTTCGCGTCATTTTATTTCCCCCTACTGAACCCTCTCGATTTCATATTTGTTGTGATATTAGCAGTGTATTTTGTGAAGAAGTGAATGATGTGAGCGAGGAGGGTTGATAAAGGGAAACAGGAGAGGAGCAGACTTTCCCTGAGCTGGTCACTGGATTCTGTAAGCAGAGCAGCCACTCATCAGAAGGCTGAGTAGTTAAGCTGTACTTGAAGTAGAACAGGGATAATACCTCTTTCCTTCATTTTTGCAGCCTAAATGCCCTGTGGAGTAAAAGAAGACTTCAATCCCTAGGCTGTGAATCCCTTATCTTTCCCAAATGTTAAATTAATTTTTAAGACTATTTATTCAAAGTTGACTTAACTACTAGAATAGGAAAGATCAGACAAATCAGCTGCAAGAAATGAAGTATGAGGAAACCCGAACTCTTTGACAAAGTATTCCTGGGAGTAAATGTGTTGAATGAAGCCAGCGGGTAAATGATAAGGGCCTTTACACTATGGATGTAAGAAAGCAATTTATCAAGAGTACATGAACTCTCTAGTGACCACAAGTCAGAGGAAACGAGAGTGGAGGAGGAGCCCTGAAAAAATACATTTGAAATACTAAAAGCAGTGTGTGTGTGTGTACTTTTAAATACCTGCATTAATATGCAGAAATACTGGTATATTAAAATAAGAGTTGCTCGGAGTGCACACGTACATACAGTACATACTATTATGAGATAAAGTGGTAGAAAGAGTGGGTGAGAAAGGCCAGGCAGTGGGTTCAAACTTGCAGAAACCTTGGGTACTCTTAGGTGTGGTTAGAATTTTGAGCTTGGATGTTGTCTGATATCCATTTGCCTGACTCCTGAGATTAGATGACCATCTTTCAGGCTCACATGTTTATCTGTTTTAATCTCTAGAAGGTCATATGTGTATAATTCTGACAGTTGATCTAATGCTTTTGTGTTCTCTTAAGGAGTTCAAAGCACCTCTCATTCATTATCTCATTAATCTTTGCAGCATCTCTTTGAGCCCTGTAGATGAGACTATGTTATCTTAATTGTTCACTTTAGAGAAACTGAGGGAAAATGTGATTATATTATCTGCGGTAGGGTTTCAAACAAATAATTCAGATAAGGTTGGGGACTAGAATGTATGACTTTATCTTGGCTTTTAGATAGGGTAATTTCTTAGAATTGAGAAAAAGACCTAATTGTTGAAATATTAGTTTCATTAAAAGTATTTACTCTGAGAATGGTCATCCTCAGTTTTGTGTGCTGAAATAACACAGTTAAAATATACAGAAATTCTGAAACTTTGATTTGGTCATTTCATCTGATGCTAAACCCTGGTCTGAGCCATCTGAAAAAGGACTAAACTATGGTTTGAATTTTGTTGTTGTTGTATTTCCTGAATAATTTTTAGAGAGCATGCCAGTGAACACTAAACTAAATATCACAGGCGAACAGTAAGAGGTAAAACTGGGAGAACTAAACCTCCGGATAATCTCTCTTAGCTAATTTAACTCGAGAGCCCCCAACACAGACATCAGCTTTCCTGTTTCCTTCTAAATTAGGCTTTTTACCCCTATAGTCTAAATAACTTGCTTCTCTTCTTCTTTAAATCATTTGTATTTAACAAGGGGTGAATCTTATTCAAAAAAGTGATATTGTTTGAGCCTGATCTTAGGGCATGAGGTGGGGATTGTTTGTTTGTTTTTTTTCTTGGTGAGGGAAGGGAGGACACCCTGATAATTTGGGTCGAGCCATAGTTCAATTAGCAAATTAATTAGTCTGGTTTTAGAGTCAGCCACAGTCATTTAGAAACATCCTCAGTGGCTCTCTTTCTGAAAGTTGAAAGTGTTTTGTATTTGCTGTCCTCTGCAATTTATAAACAACACAGGGAGAAAGTGGGAAGAGAACTATTTACATTGCAAGCTCTTGCTTAAACATCTGTGGTGATCAACCGTACTTGAAAATGGAGCCTTGATAACTTCCAGTAACTTGTTTCTACTCTGTCTGTTTCTGTCCTTTCCCTTTGTCTCTTTATCCCCACCCACCTCCGGAACTCTGTGGGACCACCATAGCCTTGGATAAACTCAGCACGCAGCACCTGTACCACCCCACGCAGGTGGAGATCGTGCAGTCCAACGTGGTGTTCGACATCAGCAGCCTGATGCTCTATGGGACACAAGCGGTACCTGTGCGACTAAAGATCCTGCTGGACCGTCTCTTCAGTGTCCTGAAGCAAGAGGAGGTGCTGCACATCCTGCACGGCCTGGGCTGGACTCTGCGGGACTACGTTCGGGGGTACATCCTTCAGGTAGGGGGAGGACGTTGAAGCTGGTATCTGGGGCCAGCTCTAGAAGGGTTTGGGTGAGAGCCCTTGGGAAACCTGGTCTCCTTCCTGCCCCTTGCAGGCCCAGGCACGTACACCCTCTTCTGGTTAAAATGGTCCTTTTGGCAAGCTTGTCAGGGAATTTGAAAGGAGTGATGTTCCAGCAGGCCTGTCTGGGGCCTCAGTGGTGTATATTAGAAAGAGAAAAGTGGCTTGTTGCCTAGTGTTGCTTTGTTTGCATCTTTTTGAGTCCAGCGCTCTCTCCCTACAACCTGAGCTTCCTGGCTGCTCCAGCAAGTCCTATTGTAGCCCTCCTAAAAGGGAGGTCTCTTTGAGGTGGGTGACGGGTGTGTGAATATCTGAGGTTATACTTCATCTGGGTTTAGTAGGGCTTGTTCTCATACTTAATTTGTAGGTTTGGTGTTTTCTTGGTTGTCTGTGTACCCTAATTATTGCTTCTTCATCCAAATCAAAGGAAGAACTGTAACCTCTATAAACTCCTTGCTTTTATAACCTGTCAACCTTCACATTCCAAAACATGCAGACGTGGTTATAGATTTGGCCTTCACAGCACCTGTTCTTCCAGCCTTGAGCCCCTTTGTGTCAGTGGCACTTCCAATCTGGTAAGGGTCTTAAAACTTTTCTGGGAGGCCTGCAGCCTCCACTCCCTTCCCCTGCAACCTCCCTGCCTTTTTTCATCCTATTTTGCAGTATGTTATGAGTGGTTTTGCATTGTGTACTTTTCCTCTGAAATGTTTTTTTTATGGCCATCTGTCTTCTACGACCCTTGAAGGGTAAATGTTGAAAACAGCATGTTGGGAGACCCCAGGATCCAAAAAAGACTACACTGGATGATGAAGAAGTACTTCCTCCTGCCAAAGGAGATCACAGTTGGAGAAGGTAGAATCTGAAGTGATTTTTGAAATTTCCTATGGGGTAATACCAGGAGAATTGACTCCTTCAAAAAAAAAAAAAAATGTTTTTTTGGCTCTGCCAGCCGGTTTATTCCCTGAGCCACTCGGTGTTATGTGCAGGGTCCTGGCTGCCAGCTCGGTATGTAATGAGTGGAGGGCTTCAAGCCTTCCCCTTGCTCTAACTTGGCATAAACACACACACACACACACACACACACACCACTCCTGTCACTCTCCTGTGTGGTACCTCCAAGGGCTAGCCAAGGAAGGAGAGCAGAGGAGGGATGATGAGTGGATGTAGAGAAAGAGGGGAGGTGGAGTAACTTGTCTGCTCCCATGACTGCTTTTGTTAGCATCATTTCTTAGTCTAGTGAGATTAACTTGGAAGGCACAGAAAATTTGGCCCTCTGAAGATGAGATGATGATGATAATAGGAATAATTATATATTACATTTTCAGTTTATAGAAGACTTTCATTCGCATTATCTCATTTGCCTGAGGGTGGGGACATTTCAGTGGGATGAGTGGAAAGTTAAGACTTGGGTGGTCAGGGCCCATGAGTGGGTACAAGGTCCAGGAGGAAGGGGCCAGGAAAAACAAAGCGTGGAGCCAGTTTAACAGTCCCTGCTTATGCACAGTGGCTTCAAGACGCATCCGTGCCTCAGCTTTCTGCATACGTTTCTGCAACGTGATTATTAATGTCCATTTTGGATGGATTTTACCCTACATGAAAGCACAAACCTCTGCAGATTTTTGAATGGACCTGTTAGCTTGGCTAAGCACTCTTTTCTTTATTCAAAACCTAAAGTATTTTGCCCCAATCTAGTACTGTATTTATTGCCTCCACTTCCATGTTTAGTTCTGTCATCCATGCTGTATTTCAGTTCTGTGTGTATATTTTTGCCTAAGATATCTGGATCATATGCATGGTGTCTTTCTGTTCAAACAAATAGATATTTGCATGACTGATTATTTGCCGTCTTAACCCAGTTTACTACAGCATTTTGTTGTCAGTTAATACAGAACCTGCTGGATGTTCTGTAGTATGGGTCCTGCCTTGGCTAGTGCCTGTTTCTTTGTTTCACTTGAAATTATTATTTAGATGTTAATTTTCCCTCCAAATTTCAACATAGCTCTAAGGCAAGCATAGAAAATATACTCCATATTTCTTTTTGTATGAGGGCTCAGATTTTAAAGATACAAAATTGCAAGGGAAATTAATGTGGTAGAAAAATTCAGCAAAACCACAAACTAACCATTTATAAAGTCTTATTTTGGAGTGAAATATTGCATATAAAGAACACTGTCATTTATTTTTTAACTTAAGTTATGACTGATTTTTATTTAATGTAGATTTTGACAAATCTCAAATTTAATCTGGTTCTCCGTTCAGAGTTTAGAATTGACATTTTAAGAAAATCATAGATGATTTTTACATTAGAGAATACCAGGTTTAATTTCTGTCTTGTTTATTGATAGAATTGATGTAATATGGATTTTATTTTAATGATGCCTTTCGTTATTCAGCATTTATCATCTACTTATTCCTTGGAGAAAACAGTTCATAGTGAAAAAAAAAAAAGGCAAGATGTTGAAGGACATGAAACCGTTATCATTTAAGTAGTGAGAAAATGCTCATTTAAAAAAATACCCCCAAAACAAGAACTAAACTATAGAAATAAACCCCTTTTCTCTAAAACATTGTTATTTGATTATTGGTCAGTATTTTAAAAATTATATGTAGTAATGATAAAGTATGCACACATGACTTTGAATATAATTATATGTAACATTTTTACACAAGTGGACTATAAAATGTGTGTCCAAAGGATGTGGAACCCTATAATGCACTGTTAGTCTACAAGTCATTTTATCTGGCTAAAACTCAATTGTCTTGTAGCCCTCAAGGCATCAATTTTAGCATTATTGCTCTCAACAACAGTATATTGAATATTATGTCAGTTAAAGGAGAATAATTATCAAGGCAAGTTAGGGTGGCTGTTAGTCTTACCACATATTGACTTGGTTAGTAGTTGGCTATAGATTGTGTTACTGGGCAAATGATGATGTACGGTGAGTTGAACTGGTGAAGCCAGGAAATTAATTTAACTCTCTCTGGGCCCAGTCCTACGTCCCTTATGAATACACAGCTATTCCTGGTTTCACAAATAGTTTTGAATGTAGAAGGATAGGATTTTGCATTTTTGGATATGAGGGGAAAGAAGAGCAGTGCCATTCACAGGTTATCACTTGCAAGCATGTATGAAGAGGTCGTTCAAAGAAAAAGGGGGATGATAGTGATGCCACAGTTCATTTAAAAGCCTAGCAATATCTTTCAAGAATCCTGTACTGTTTTGATAAAAATTACTTTTCACTTATGTGATTATCAGGGTAATTCATAAACTAGCCAGCTGGGTGAAAATACATAGCATAACCTGAACTGCAGTGATTTAAGAATTCAGGAATATCTTAAAGGTAAAGAGCCTAGTCATCTCCTGTGTACCAATTAAAGTATTCATTTAGAAAGTACAGAAAAAATGAGGTAAATTTTAAGCATTTTCCCACAAAATCGCAGTAAAAGGAAATAAGCAATTAGATGCTAAAATGTAAATATAAAGGAATATAAGGTTTTTTCTGCTGCTGAATATTCCTTATTTCCAATCTACATTTCATGGTACATTTATTGACAGCAAATAAAAGCAGTGCCCTGTTCTTTCCCCATTTTCCCCATATATTTTAGGGTATAAAAATATAGATGATTTTCATCATTGAATTTAATCACTTAAAAATCAAGTTTTCACAGTCTCTTTTCAGTTTGAATTTGTAACTGGTCTCATACACCAGCCTATCTGTGGAAATCTCCTTTGTAAATGAATCCTGCCAGGATTCAAAGAACCATATCAGACACTCTGAATAATTAGCTGAAGTGTCAGCAGCCTTGTGAGAGAATGAGTAGTGATGCACATTTCAAATCACCTGTGTCTTGAAACAATCAGAACTAATAGAACCATCAGCACTGTAGAACATTTCCCAGCGTATTCTGGGGGCATTGGTCTTCCAGAAGTCCAACTTTAGATTTGGGAAGAAATCACTGTGGACCCTCATAGAGCCTCGTGGCACCATTAGCATAACAAAGGCTCTGAGGAGTTCTGGAGTACTGGTTCCTGAGAGTAGGTAAGGAGCTCATTACAAGTCTTTGATTCCTGAACACACAGCTCTTCTTCAGTTTGGGGTGTTTGCATGTATAGTTTCTTCTGCCTGGACTCCCCTACTCCTCTCTCTGCTTGGGCAATTTCTTGTCCTTTAGGTGTCAGCCAAAGCCCCACTTTTTCCCAGACACCTTTTCTGTCCATCTTAACCAACGCAAGTCTTCTAGTGTGGCTGTGTCTCAGGACTCTGTTTCCCTCAAGCTCCAATCCAATTTAAAATCAGTTAAATCAGCTTTTAAAATGTTGTGCCCCCGCCCCCGGCCCCGCTTCCTCACTAGGGAACATTACAAAGTCAGGGTACCCAATAAATATTTATTAAATGAATGGGTAAAGAAACCTTAACTTGGTGTAGCTTGATGTTTCACCATGGTACTCATGGGATATCCAATAACTTCAGTTGGTCCACAGGCCCTTAGTCTTTCTTCAGGCTTCCCAGGGACAAAATTCTGTGAAGGCAGCTGGGCTGGTGAAGGCAGTAAGAAGAGAATCAAGACTCCCACACTGCCTAGTTAGTGGTCTGTGTAGAATAAGTGTTTTGTGGTTCAATGTGGTAGAAAAACGTAGATGTTTAGCAAACACTTGTATTTAAAGGGTCCTTTGTGGAGCAAATTCACATACTTTTTGAATTCTCTTACATCATTCTCTTGTAGATGTTGCCAAGGAATTAACATTTGGAGTAGTTTAAGCTCAATGAGGTTAAGTGACTTTCTCATGATCGCAGAAGCTGTTAATTGGTGCAATTGATGCTTTGTAGCTTTTTGAGGCCCACCCCCGCAGCACCCAGCCTGGCACATAGTAAGGTTTGCTAAATACTGGAGGGAGGAAATCTGATCTAAATTCAGGTCTCTACCTCTATGGACAG